ACCTAGGGCTCAGAAATTTAGGCATAAGGAGACGTTCACATTCATTTTATCTTCTTTTTTTATTTAAATATACATGAAGCTAGGGAAAGGAGACGACATAGGGTAAAGGGAACGATGCGGCCGTTCAGCTCCCGTTGGTGGGATGCTCACGGAAGGAGGAGAAGCACATCTGTATCATGCACTGGCAAGCGGGGGCGGATCCGCCGGATCTCACCAAGCTGACACCTCCGTAGCGTTCGCTTCTCCGCTCCACAACCGTGTGTAGTCGACCTAAATAGCGTAGGGGTCTCGGCAGCTACCTGCCCCCAGGATGGGGATTACGTCCGTGTGTTAAGGGCCCTTTGGCGCTTCCTCGGGGCCAAACGGGGATTAATTCGGGCTTTCGTGACTCACGTGATACAATCTGGACCTCCGAGCACACTAGCATTCACTTCAGCAAACGACGATCTTCACTATTCCCACGTGGCTCCGTTGTCTGACCGACAAGGGCGGTTCACAGAGAATCTTCTGATTGTCTCACGTTGACTTCCAAACTCTAGCTCTTTAATAGCCGGCTTTCCTCAACGAGCGGGTAGAATCTCGAGCGACGGCGTTACAGGGTTAGAGCGGCAATCTGGGGTCACCAAGACTCTGAAGATACCCTTCTCCCGACCGAGGAGGCCGTGATTTGGCGTGTAGATGACACGTGCAACACCGTGACACTTCTCTTCGCTGGTTTAACCAGAGTCTCACTCGCGCACCGTGCAAATAACCGCACACTCCACGAAACGTATTGGTTCCTCGTGGGAATACTCAGATTCACCGCGTGTATGAACGGTCCAAATTCGATGATAGTTCCGTACACTGTGCCCTTAGCTGATCCCCAACTTTTCTTCCATCCCATCCTCTCCTTTTCGCACTCTCCCACTCAACTCTCTTTCTCTCTCTTTCGCCGGTTGGCTTCCGGAAATGGGAAAACGTATCCCATTTCGCTCCATCGGATAAGTGAAGGGTGCACGTAATTTGCACACGGTGGGTTTATTAGTATTTATATTTTTTTGATAATTTTAGTGCAGAACTTTGCCGTCTTTTTTATTATTTATATCATGATCATTGGACAAATAATGCAAGCGCGGCTTAGATTGGTCCAATGATATTTTTTTCGTTAGTTGGTTTTTGATAACTGGTGTCCACGATGAAATTGCCACACACAAAATTGATTCGCAAAATTCGAGTTTTCATCCGATTGCCATCAAATTTTCAGGGATTGAGAAATAACTATTAAACTTCATTTTACCATTTTACTCGTATTTTATTTACAGTCCATACGCAAATGCCCGCACCTTGGCCTTAACCCCGGCCAACCTGTGAATCAACCGTTTTTTGCATGTAAACCCATACTTTCTTCAGTTCCTCAACTGTCTTCACTACCTTAGGTCGTTTAAGAAGGTGCTGCTTCATAATCGCCCAGTACTTCTCGATGGGGCGGAGCTCCGGAGTGTTGGGAGGGTTGAACATTTTCGGCACGAAATTGACCTTATTGTCCGCATACCACTTCAGCACGTCCTTGGAGTAGTGGCATGAGGCCAAATCCGGCCAGAAGATTGTTGGGACGTTGTGGGCCTTCAGGAGAGGAAGCAGCCGCTTCTGGAGGCACTCTTTTATGTACACCTGTCCGTTCATCGTGTCCTGGGTCACGAAAGGTGCACTCCGCTTCCCGCACGTACAGATGGCTTGCCAAACCAGGAATTTCTTCGCAAATTTGGACATCTTGTGAGTGCGGACATGCTCCGGAACGCTGAACTTATCCTTGGCCGTGAAAAACAGGTTGCCGGGGATCTGTTTGAAGTCGGCCTTCACATATGTTTCGTCGTCCATGATGCAGCATTCAACTTTCGTCAGCATGTTGAGGTACAACTTCCTGGCACGGGTTTTGGCGGACTTGTTCTGCTTCTCGTCGCGATTAGGGGCCTTTTGTACCTTGAATGTTCGAAGCCCAGCCTTAGTTTTGGCCTTCTGGACAAAACTTCGGCTTAGGTGCAGCTTCTTAGCCACATCCCTAACGGAGGCGTTCGGATTTCGGTTGAAGGCCCCAACTACGCGGTTGTGATTTTTGGTGTTGTACGGAATACTTTTTCCTTCAATTCTGGGCTTCCGATCGGTGGTCAACCGTTCCTCGAACCGCTTAATCACTCGCGACACCGTGGAATTCGCGATTCCCAACGTTTTAGCGATGGAACGATGCGAGAGATCCTTGTTCTCGTGATGAATGCACAAGATTTTATCACGCACGAGCTGTTCTTTCGACTCCATTTCCGCGAGTTTTGATCACAGGACTTTAAAACTTGCAGGATGTAAATAATGCACTATGAACTAAATCCACCCAAATTTTCATTAAATTCTACCCAACGGTTAAAAAGTTAGAGCAATTTCATAGTGTGGCAATTTCATCGTGGACACCCTTCAGCTACATGCAAAGCTTTACATCAACTTAATATGGGGCTGGGTAACGAATTAAATAGGTGATATATTTTATGTTAAACACAAATGAACAAATGTGGTTTAAATATATGAATCTTTTTGCGTATATAATGCAAATATGGGTATTTAAGTAATGGTGAGTCTTACTATGGCAAACAATTAAGTAATAATCTAGCTTCCTATAAATTAAATTGTGTGTATTGCAAAAGCTGTACAATCCAATCGGCTTAAAAATCATTGTAAGAGGTGATTGGCCGGTAACAGATCTACCACCGATTCTTAGTCCTGACTAGTTCAAACTAGGGGAACAGGATTTTTCAGTAATCCAAGGAACACATCTTAGTCCTTGTTACTTTTTATGTCTTGTTGATAGTGACAAGACTCGGTTTTGTCCACCGAGTATGATCTTGAAACAAAGAAAAAATGAGTTAGTTAGTCTTCATCTATGTGATTCCTAATCTTCTATTCGCTGTTCTCTAGTTTGAAGTGTTTAAGACTAGGGTTCTGATGCATGGTCATTATCGGTGTCATTCCTTAATTTTGTTACTAAGGAATCCAATTTTGACTGACAAAGAGGCGCGCCTTTGGAGGGTGTTTCAACACTCCGAAGGGTACAAATAGCGGAACCTTTCAATTAGAGTCGCATCCTCGCGATAAATGCAAGAATGACAACTGTAAAAAATCGAATACTTCATCATTTCTCAATGGTGATGGAGTAATACGGCATGCACTAAACTAAGGACACGGGATATACAATAGATCAATAATAGATCAAATTACTGGTCGTAGTGGTGCTAGGTCCCGAACAGAGGAAAAAATTGCACTAGATGCTCTATTTTATCTGCTTCCGTTGCATCAATTTATTCAATTAGAAGCCGAAAGAAGTGCATTAAGGATCCGACGGTCACAAAACTTCCTTAAAGGTGATCTAGAGGACATATGAGCAGCCTTAAAATGTTCAATATTGAAGATTGGATGAAGAAAAAATATCACTTCGATCGTTTTTACAATGTAGCAGATGCGGATCGCGATTTGTGGGACAATGGGGTACCAAACATTCGTCCAAGATCAATTGTCTTTTATGCAGACGGCTCTAGATTGGATAATCGTGTAGGAGCAGGGGTAACAGGTCCAGGAATAAATATCTCAATATCTATGGACTACTGGCCTACCGTGTTCCAAGCATTAGTCCAAGCAATTCTTAAATGTTGTAAAATTTGCTTGCGTAGAAATTATAGACATTCGAATATCTGCATTATTTCTGATGGCTAAGCAGCACTAAGTGCTTTGAAATCAGCAACATGTAATTCTAAACTTGTATGGGAATGTGCAATGTCACTCCAAAAATTGGCCTGCCAAAACCAAGTGAACCTATTTTGGGTTCCTGGTCACTGTGGAATTCAAGGGAATGAGAAAGCCGACACACTAGCTAGGCTTGGATCATCTCAACAATTTAGAGGACCAGAACCATTCTGTGGACTTTCTGCTTGCTCTCTTAGAATGGAGTTCAAGAAATGGGAAAAATGAAAGTGGAGACCAATTTAAGACCAATAATTTAAATGGCCCTAACTCCAGTTTGTAAACAAACAGAACAGGTAGGGGAAATTCTCTTCTACCCGATTGTGGTTTAGGTTTGCGAATGAAGCTTTCGGTTCGCGAAAAAATGGCCTTACAAGGTTTGTTTACAAAATGGAGTTAAGGCTATTTCAATTGTTGGTCTTGAATTGGAACAACACTCTCATTGCTAGGCAGTCGAAACGGTTTATTAATCCGAGCATTTCAATGACTAGCAAAATTCTTGAACTATCAAAGAGAGATCTCAGTATGTACACTGGTTTAATAACAGGACACTGTCCACGTAAATATCATTTGAAGCTAATAGGAAAACTTCAAGAGGACATGTGGCGATTATGTGACATAGAAAAAGCAGACTCTGAACATCTGCTATGCTGGAACCAAACAGGTTATTTGTGTTCTTGACCTAGCACCTTATAGGTCATTCCAGCTCACGTGTATACAGATTGTGAAGAATGTCACCCATTTCATCAAAACTTCGCCAAAATGCAATGCTGTTTTGAATTTTGTCATAGCTTGAAGATTGAAAGTGGAATGAAATATTAACTAAAAGTTTCATAAGTGCTCGTAAATCCAACAGCAAAATTCTTGATTAACATCCATAAGGCAACTCTGTTCTTTTTCCTTCCATCCCACCAACATTCAATAAAAAGTAACAGTGAACACTTAGTCACTCTTCCACGTAACAAGAAGCTTCTATTTGTATTTTGAATAAAATTCAACCTCAAACGCAAAATTCCCCGAATCCCTTAAAGCGCAAATTCCCACTTCCAAGAAAGTCTCATCCACCAAGTAACCCTCGTTAGAACCGCAAACGGCACGTTCGGCGGCACAGTCTATGCGCCGTACAAACATAAATTAATCATTTCCAGTCCCATACCAGAGCCGACACGTTTTGACGTTTTCCGTTCCGTGCTTCGCATCGCATATTCAAACACACGAAACGTTCTATATTTATTTTGCAGACCCCTAAAAAACGACGAAAATTCAATCAATTCCAACGTACGGCACAAGATCGTCGTCATGGGGGCGGCCAAGGTCGGCAAGAGTTCCATCATCACCCAGTTCCTGTATGGCACTTTTTCGCCGAAGTACAAACGCACCGTCGAAGAAATGCACCACGGTCACTTCTCCGTCGGCGGGGTCAACCTGACGCTGGACATTCTGGATACGTCCGGCTCGTACGAGGTAAGTCCAATCCATTTTAAATGTCGAATCAAATTACGATAGAAGTCCCTGGCGCCCGTGCTCGAATCCACAACTCAATTACCATAATGGCTCCATCCGTGTCTTCAACGAGTCACAAACGGGTTCATTTCTGACCTGAGGAGCCAAAAGCACACCTCGCACCGTTTGATGGTCCGCCATAACGGACCCAAATTCCATGCCCAAACAATTTTGGACCAAGGGCAAAAATTATCGTCCCGCTGTTTTTCCAAACGTTGTTGAGGGTAAACATCAAACAAACACTGAACCCCCGCAAGGATCCACACGGTCATCACCGGCCGGTTCCCAGAAGGAACCGCCCACTGCTGTGTCGGAAAATTACCATGAGCTTTTTTCCCACACTACTGCCACTTTTGTTCTCGGACGCATGGGAAAGTGCGAACCGTCGTCATCAGCTCAATCAGCAGCGGTTCCCTGATCTCCAGCTGAAACTACGCCAACAAGTGGCTCCATCAGCGGGGCAGCATCCTACCGGAAACGAACCAGGCGTAAACACAAATTCATCTCGTCAGAATAGTGGATAGAAGGTTGACTGTCTCTAACGCGCTGGAAAGGTCAGCTTCCGCTTCCGCCTTTTAACCTTCAAGTCATCATTGCCGAGCGGAGCTGAATACGGCGTGAAAAGGGGGATCGGGGTCGGCAGATCGACACAAATTGTTTACACAAACATTGCCTTTTCGTCTACATGTATCCCGACCAGCGTTGGCAGTATTCCATATTTTTTGGAATGGAACATATTTTCAGATACGCGGGCAGATCAGGTTTATCTCCAGATTTTTTTAATATGTTCCAGATTTTCCCAGATTTTTGAAACATGCAAATTCAAAAATATCACTGCAATTGATTCACCTTCTTGTCAAAAAAGCCAAAACTGCTACTTAAACAACAGACAAACAGACATAACTCAATGAATATTTCTCACTGTAAAATATCGTCGCTAAAACACTACCGCCATCTGTTGAGAAATCTGTGATGGGCAGTGTGCTCAACAGATGGCTACAGTGTAACGGCTGACTAAAAGTACATTGGTACATTTCTCCAGTTCGAACGAAATCTCGAACCTTTCTCTTGATGGAGCCCATCAGCTTCCACTCAGTAACGGACACGGAATTGCTCAGTATTTTTCGATTGGTTGAAATTTCGGGCCATTCGGAGGATTCATTAGCTTGAGGACAAAATCGATCTTGTTGACAGCATACCACTCCAGAACCACCTTGGAATAGTGACAGCTGGCCAAATCGGGTGAACTTGCGGATGAACGGCAATACACGCTTTTTCAGGCATTCTTCGATGTAAACTTGGGATGTCATCATCAAGGATGTGTTCCATTTTCAGGCCACAACTGCAAATCGCTTGCCAAATCATGGCCTTCTTCGCGAACTTGTCGGCAAACACGAACTTGAATCTTCCCGGCACATTCCCACGTCCAGTCGCAATGTAAAACTTTTGACCGGGAAGCGGCTTGAAATCGAGTTTGACGTATGTTTCGTCATCGATCAAAGTACACCCTTGTGTTTCACCAAAACACGGTTGAACAAGAGCCTTGCACGCTTTTTGGCCACGGAATGTTGCTTCATGTGCCGGTTCAGATGTTTACTGGCTTTGTACGACTTTAATCCTTTCATGGCAAGGATGTTCCTCACCGTTTGAAAGTTGGCGTTGTACCTTCTGGCCACATCTCGGATCGGAAGACGGCTTTAACGCACCTCAACACCACAACACCTTGCAGCGCAGCTGACGATCCCTGGTTTCAGTTTTTTCGTAGGTCCGCTGATTCCTTTCCACACTCAGGGTTTCCTTGTAGGTTTTCGGCACTCGACAAACTGTTGTTTTCGGCATCTTCAGCACTATAGCCAGCTTGGAACCGAATCACTCCGGATTTTCCAGGTGTTTGTGCACAATATTTTTTCTTCTTTCGAGTTCCATTTGACGTTACCACTTTACAAACGTTACCATTTTACAAACCACTGTCAAAGATTTTCGATTCCCAACACTAGAGGCGTGCTAGCGGCGCGCAAGGAGCGTTCCAATTTACTTTTAGTTAGCCTTCATAAACGTCAAACGCAAGACAATTGACTTTGCGCGGCACAGGTGGCGGTACTACCAACTAGGAAACAATTAAATTGACCGTTAAATGCATGTTCGATGAACAAATTATGAGAGTTATGCCTGCTTGTGTGTGATTAAACTATTAAATGCCAATAACGCCCATTGGACACTACTGCACCATCGTTCATGGAATTGTTACAACCAGTGCTGTGGTTCTGGGTGGTGGCGGATCTGAGGAATGAAAGGAAATGCTAAAAATTTCAGTGAAGCTTAATAAACAAGCTGCGGGAACATAAGAGAAATTTTTAAAACATCTTGAAAATATGGGGAACATCATGGAAACCTTAAGAACTTCAAAGTGGTTCCATTAGTTCCTAAAAAACTGCAGGAACTTTTAAGAAGTTCTTGGAATTTCAGAGAATATTTAGAGAGTTTAACGTAAGTCAACAGAAATTCAGAGATGTGCAGAGAATTTAAGAAAGTTCCAAGTACTATAGATAAGCTAGATCCAGAGATCTTTGGATTCTTAATATAAATTTGATTTCATTACAAAAATTAACGGATTTTGCGTGGTTTGAATTAAACAGAGCATTTCATAATGTTCCAGGTTTAATATTTTAACTGGACCAGATTTCCCTGAAAACGACCTGGCAACGCTGGTTCCGACCCACACGCGAATGATGGCATTCCGGCACGTTCTTCGCTTGTTGCGTGTTGCGGTCCAGACTCTTCTGGTGGGCAAGCGGTAGGGGTAGAGGTTTTCCAGCGCATCAGCTGAGCTGGAGGTGGATGCGATGCGAATGTTTTTCGCTGCAAAATTGGCATTTCGCCGGGAAGGGGAGTAACTAAACGAATGTACCTATATGTATACCTACTCTCTGCTCCCACGCGCCACTTTGACGGGCATGAGGAGGTTCGCAATAACGAGATGTTTTTTTTTTCCGGTGATTGAAAATCTCGATTGAAATTTTAATCTATTTGTAGGTTAGGTACGATTGGTTGTAGAACAATACGTACTTATAGGATGCCGTTATTCTGGAGACAAACAAGAGGTCCCCGTACTTGCTTGTTTGCATTTGATGTAAGATAATTATATGGTGCAGAAAGTACGGGAACATACTTTTACTTCTGGCTGTACAGAATATTACAGATATGCAAGTACGGAAACAGACCTAATATCAGGAAACCTATAGATGTTTAAAATTTGGCCACTTGCTATGCTATGCGCAAAATGGCTTGATGCAGATTTCATAATTCTGCTCGGTGAGGAACCTAATAATTTTGGATTTATAAGAGCTCTGAAGATATGGATTTAGACTTGTAGACTGCTTGAAAACCTTCATAAAACTTGTAATGTTACTTGAGGAATGGGATTTAAATTGTATAATGCTTCTATTTCTCAAATAAAGCTTTTATTTATTTTGTTGATGATTCTACACAGTTCGAAAAAGTAGTGTAAATTTATGTAACTATGATGCACATAAATGGAGCGCCCTATATCCTACAAGATTACATTATAAATCGCCAAAGGGTGTTCAAAGCTACACATCTCAACAGGGGGTAAGGCACTCTGCCACATTGTGCTAACACCCACAGAAACACACTTCGACACACTGCAAGCACCCTTCCGCCACATGACAAGCAATTTTTTAATCAATTCTGGCACCACTGCAAATAATGTTTACATTTACATTGTTTTGAAAAAAAAAACCAGAAAAAAACCGTCCTGCCTTGAAAGAAAAACATTCTTGATCTGGGTTGAAAACCTCCAATCCAAAGAAAAGGAAATACTAAACCGGTTGGGATCCACGAAAGCACCGACATCAGGATGCTAAAAAAGGTAAAGAAGTCTTGCAAGAAAAACGCAACGGAAAAGTTTCTAATTGTAAATCCTAGGTTCTCACCAGCGGCAGCCCAATCACGGCCCCTCCAATCAATTACAAATGCACCCTTTGCTTGATCCTTCTTCACGGGTGGCACGTACCCATTCGTCTTCCTCCTGCAGCGAGAGGGCCAATGCCCGTGTCAGAACTAATTTTTCGAACAAGTTACCCTGAACGGTAGCCGCTGCTGATTAATATTCGATCTCTACAGTTGCGAAATGGTCATGGAATTCTACTACTGCTTCTGACGCAGCAAGGCAGTAGTATAGCTGGCGGCATACTTGTCATTCTCCTCTGTGAGAGACAAGAGCTAACATTCTAATCTTCTCACTCTGTTCATTCTAGAAAGAGCACTACATGCAGTATATTATTCACCACACCCTTACTGTGTGTGAAGTTTTTGGGATGAACTGCGCGGTGAGATTAAATCACTCTACACTGGTGGGAACTGGTGAGCGACACAAGAGCTCTAGAATATACTGCAGAGAAGTCACAGAAGCTCACTCCAGAGAACACTGGAGTGGGAGAACTGGTTGGTGCTCTGGACATAGAGAAAGTGCAATTTTTAATGATTTGACGCTCCATTGCTAGTTTTACTTTTGATATTGGCGTTGACGTTGAGTCGGAAGGCTATCTTTACACCAACGGTATTTCTCAGTTGCGTGTTTGGGGGAAAAAAATCAAAAACTCTTCGCGCCTTCACTTTCTCACGTAAAATCGCAAAGAAACTCAACACAGTCTTCAACGCCAATACCGGTAGCTTTGATCTGTGCGTGTCATCCTTGGGCTTTATTGGCGTGGAAGACACCGACTTTTCTTGTAGATATACAAGTTTACTCATGTAATTTCACTATGCGAGTTATGAGTAATAAGGTAATAAACAGGGATCTATGTTCTGGCATGGAAGTGTGGGTGTTATGTGTATATTTTACAATGACGCAACCCCAAGTGGATTTTTCTTTTATAAAAATGCCATAGAAAAAACACTTTATTTCATTGGGCAGCGCAGGCAAAGCTTAATTAACCTGTTTGGCGTTAAGAACTTTTTTTTTTGTAATTTTTCATTTTATGAAAACCCTTAAATTGGTCGTCAAACTTCTGATTTAACCTTATAGTTGGTTGGTTGGGGGCTTCATAGAGGTGGATTCGAATCTCGGTCCGGTTGAGGAAATCTTTCGGGTTGGAAATTTCCTCGACTTCTCTGGGGATAGATGCTTTGCCATACAATATACATTCCATTGGTGATAATTAAATTTACATGAAGTTCGAAATAAAATATTGGTTGGGCGGTTGGTGAGTGTTTACAAACAAAAATACTTCCAGGAGGACCTATTACCTCTCGAAATTGGCATACGTATTTTATAAACAGCCTCTAAAGCAATAGATTATATGACAGCAACATCCAATTATATTGGTATTGCATTCAATTGAATTCTACACCAAAGCGAGGGATTATATATGGGTATTCGGGTATATATATGGGTGAATGCTTTCTTGACATGATATAACCGCCTACAAATAATTTTACGGTTCGTTAATAGATTAATCAATTATTCAAATAAAAATCGGACACCGCTAGAAGAATATAAATCGTCATGTTTACATGCACCGTCAATGTAAAAAATAATGAGACAATTTGAAAAAGACTGGGGCTAATAATAAATGACGTCCCCACTGGAAGAAATCGAGTGCTGACCAATTGCTTTAATTCATCAATGTGTTACAAGATATTACAGCAAAGTGGGAGGAGATGGGTCTTGCAGTTTTTGTTACCTTGTTTTTTAATAATAATCAATGCATTTGAAATAGAACTGTCAACTATAATACTAACACAGTCTTATTAAAAAAAAGCTTTACATATAACGGTGTGGGTGGGAGGGTTGTATTATATTTGTTACAAAAGTGTCACGAAGGGGTGAACGATTTAACCGATATGTTATTTATGAATGAGCCCTTAGCTCCAATGTTAGCGAAAGCAGACCGAAAAATGTGAAGTGTATTAGTGAGTATGGGTAATATTTACTTGAACGTTTGAATGTAAAAAAAAATAAGTAAAACAGGTTGCAGAACGGACTCGAGCCATGAACGTAGGGATTATCACATCTGTGTTTTTTCTCTGCTCTATCCATACATCTGCTTTTTCTGCTAAAAAAAAGTGTTTGCATGTATTGGTATAATCAAAAATATTACAAGGAAAAAAGTATCTTACATTAATTGTCAATATGACTTATATCATCCACCGTGCGATTCATATACACAGAATGTAAGAACACTCTAGTTACATTGATTGCTATAAATATTTCGCTAGAATGCATGATTTATTTGCGTTGTAAATAATTACTTACCGAAGTTGCCAATGTAATTGTTTTTCAGCAATAACTTTCCAAAAAAAAAACAAGCATGATTGTTAATCAGTTTTTATTTATTTTTGCTATTTCTTTCGCAAATATAAATCAATTTATGTTTTATCTGCCGTCCTGCACTACCAATCTCTCTCTCTCTTTTTAAAAGAAAGTTTTTTTTTCTCTGTGACAAATCATTATTTAACAAATGATTTTATGAATAAAAAAATAAAAAAAAAATCAACACATTGAAAGAAACTGTTAACAAGTATTTAAAAATCACTCATCTTACAAATCGTATTGAAAGTAGACATCATCAAAAATATCACTATTTGCTTTGACAAATAATATTTGTTCAAGTGGAGTCGAACCCAGCTTCATTCTGGCTTTCGTTAAAATGTGTCTAAGTCCGTTAAATGTTCGCTCAACGGATACTTGGGTACATGGTAGTTGAGATACAATTATAGCTAGATCAGACAGTTCTTTGTCTTCCAGCTTTTTTGCTTCCCACCATTTGATAACATCAGTATCCAATGGAGCAAACATCTCCAATGGAATTCTTCGAATCCGCTTTTCCATATCTCCAACTTCTGAAGATTTATGCTGTCGATTAGTGCATAGAAGTTTTTGAATACGTGAAAAAATTCCAGCACCAGTGGATGTAGACGGTACAGGGTTGTCCTCTGTAGTCAAATTTCCTTTCGTTACAGTTCGCAGTACATTCCAAGTCTTCAATAAATGTTGCTGAAAATAATTTTAATAGTCATTATTGCTATGTTAGAAAACTGCTAAAGCCAATAGGGGATCCATTGTGGTGCTAAATGTTGGTGCATTTTTCAATTCATTCAAGGGGATTTTTCGTTTGAAGAGTCTTCGTATTTTATGACTATGTAAATTTTCTCGAAAATGTTGGAAATTTTTTTTACTTCTCCGTGAACATGACTTACATTAAAAAATCAAATTTATTGAACTAAGTATCGTAAAAACAATATAATATTGTGAATTAAATAGCAAGTTATCCTAGGAGTTTATTGAGTATTTCAGCGTGGTATGTTCTACTGTTAGGGCTTTCCTTAGCTCAACTTGTAAAGGCAAAGCAGAACCATGATTGTTGGTGCCGGAATTTAAATAAAATAAAATCATTATCTAGATTATGATTTATTTGTGCTTTTGTTTTCGCTGATTTCCTTTGCCTGTGAATTTTTTTAAAACAGTATTCTCTAGATTATATTTTTTGAGAAATCGCAGAGATAATTTTTTTTTTATCATTATATTGATTCAAAGCTTATGATTTTTTAGTGTGTTAGTTCAAGTAAAAATTTACTAAACATTTTCGGGAAAATGGGTTTTTGCAATTAATATTCAAACGTATCTGCTTTCATACAACCAAAAATTTGACCAGTATACTTGGCCTTTTCATAAAATTCTGAGATTCGTCCGTCCAAACCTGTTCGATAGCGAAAAAGATCTCCGCAGAAGTAGCAACCAACGGAGCCGTATTATTAAAACCGGACCAAAACTGTATACATGTTCCCCTATTAACTTTGCCTCCATTGCACAGTGGTCCAGAACTGGAATGAAATAGTGTCTTCGGTAAAGTTTATCCAATTGTTTTACATACTTGGAGATGATTAACGTCAAATATCAGACTTAAAGTGGTCATTTTATACGATAGATGAGGAGATGAAAGTATATTGTTCCGTTAGAGTACGGTAGTATAAAAATTGTATATTGAGAGTAGATAACGAGCAAAGGTCAATTTTGAGGAAGGCACTAATCGGGGTGATGAATCAATTGTTTTATACAATCTTCTTATATGAGTGAACTAAGGCTATTCCTTATGGGTAATGAGATATAAGTATTTACTTTGTTGTTTTTTAAAATAGACAGTTTAGAGCAACTTATGTTTAGTCTTTGGAATAAAAAATTAGTGTCTTCAGCAAAAAAAAAATAAATGTTCTAAAACATTATCCATATTTTCTTTTTCGTCGATCTCCAATAACTGAAAAGTTAATATTTGGAACTCAAACCCCTTACGAAGATTGGCTGAAACAATTGGAAACATTTTCTCAAAGACACTAAAATCCACTTCTGAAGCATTGTGCAATAATTGGTACATAATAAAAATTCGATTTTTAAAGATTGTATTTGAAAAGTTTAAAACTTACGACAGCTTCCTCTTTCTGGTCCTGCGTTAATACTGGAGGATCAAACTCGTTTAGCCGTGGATCTACGAAAAGAGCGGCCATGAAGGCGGGGTTGTCAAACCACATACCTTGTCGGTTCTGCAGTGCTTCGAGCAGTTTATTTCCCAATGAGTCATTCATTTCGGCTAGTTCTAGGCAGCACTCCTTCCAATAAAGATACATCGTTCCACAAGTAAGGGACTCTTCTTGAATTCTTTTAGTTAATAAGTAAACTGGAAATGTCGCTTTTACGAACCGTTCAATAGTCATCCAAAATTTATCGTTGAACTCGCGTTGTAGCTCTGCCGGTAGAAGACCCTGCACGAAATCCTTCTGATCCTCAATGCGTTTAACCATTAGGTAGGCAGAGCCCCATCGGGTTTCTCCATCCAAAATTGGCATCTTTCGTGTTTTATCCACTTTGAAGGAATTAACATAGGGCTGAGCTCTCAAGATCTTTACTAACTTCCGCATTTTCGCGAGAAAGTTCGAAACAGTTTTCTTCTTGATCACATCATACACGGAAAGTTGAAAATCGTGAGCTGCGCATCTAACACCCACTAGATGAGGTTGATCAATTATTGGAAGGTCGTCATCCGGGTTTTGATCAGGAAATACATTCTCATCGGCAGAGAAGTTCAGAAACTCAGTATCGTCGTCAATGTCGTCGTTTATATCTGCATCCCTATAGTATAAATTATCAATTTCATGATTGACATTTTCCATCCGGGTTTGAGGCCGTGCACTAATTACGTTGGAGTTTATTTTTATTTTTTAAACCCCCTCCCCCTCGAAGTATTACTTAGATTTTCAAAATTACCAAATTTAAAAATTCAATACATTATGAGTAAAGCGGTCCTCATGCAGAAAAAAAAAATTGTGACGTACAAAGGTTCATAAAGAAACAAATTCAGTACAATCAAATGGAGAAAAAAAAAACAATTGAAATAGTCATTTATGCAAGATTAAAAAAAACCTTTTAAGGATTGTATTTTTTATGCTTTTTCAAAGATGAGCTATGAATGCTTCATGAGCTATGAATTTTCAAAGTACAATATTAGGGAAAATCCGAAAACTTCAACTAATATTTTTCGATGAAATCAACCACCCCAAATTTTTTTTTTAATATTGTTATATTTTATGTAACCATATAATCTAGCTGTGAGCAAAGTTTTATTAAATTTCTGAGACCCTTCGGCTCAAACCAGACCTACAATATAGAAAACAACGGTACCCGAACTGGATTAACCAGACAAAAGAAATGATATACCTACCAAAGAACAAAACCATACAAATGTTCCCACAATTTCATTCCATTACTAAATTTAGCAAATAAATTAGCAAAACGGTACCATAGATGTATTCTTTTATTTGTATTTTGTATTTTAGAAAGTAATTTGCATACATTATTTTGCAATCATTCTTTGGTATTTTACCTCTTATGCCAGCTTGATCCACATTAAATGTTGGTATCAGGATCAAAATGAAGTAAATAAAAACTATTCATCAGCGAAAAATATTTTTAAAAGCATGAAAAAATTAGTTGGAAAAGTTGTGTCTCTCAGAAATTAGTATTTCCTGATTTCCTTTGTGATTTTCCACCGTGAACATTTTCGAGGAATTTTTTTTCGCATTGTACTTTTTTATGGATTGCTGAAACCATTTCCTTATTAATTCACCTTAGAAGATTTGTTCTACGATGTTACGATAAAAGCAAGATTAGTTTTCGGTTTGAATCAACAGTGTAAAAGTTTGCTGTTCTTTTTGCTGTGTTAACTGTCAAGTCAACCAAAATGAGATCAAGTGGAGTATTCAAAATAAGTTACATCATAACACCAAACCAGGGCCAACGGATTCATTTCATTTCCAAAGGAAGATGTGTGTGGAGATTTTTTTTTTGCCTCAGGAGATAATATTTTCTAACATTTTAGAACTCTAGAACATACCCCACCGCCCCCCCCCTCCCTTTCTCTAACGTAATTAGTGCAGAGCCCTTTATCAACTTCGAAATGTAGTATATATATATTAAATTCAATCGAATACCTATATTTGCGTGGTGGGTAGTACCGTCCACCCACTATTTCTCTGTTTCTCGCTGATTTTATTGTATGTAATTATTGTGCATTTTAGACTCCTGTGCAAAAAATATTTGCACAGAAAACAGTGCCAGAAAACAAAAAAAAAACATCAATTTATTTAACAGCATTAGCACAAGGGAGAGAGGTTGCTGTCAAATACGAACAATTGTGGCCTACCTCGCATAACTGGTTCCAAACGTAAACAAGCCATAAGAAACCTACAGGGTTTGTTTACGTTTGGAACCAATTTCATACAAGAATAATCAGTAGGCGATTTGACAGCACGTCCCACCCCAGCATTAGCAGAGTCAGAACAGTACTGACAATCTACACTGATGAATTCGAGCTCTTGAAAATTTTAAGATACCCAATATTTTTAGTGAAATCTGTAATTCTGACAACCAAAAACTTGTTATTTACAAATAACGAGCGCAATTGGTTCAAAAACAACATAGACATAGTGGTGGGTCCACGATACCACTCACCGCGGAGGGTACTGCATAGTACAGCATTGGAAGGAAAAAAGTAAACACCGTGGTGCCTTCATTAAAAAAAAATAATAAAGATCTGTAACTCTTCTGCCTGTTTATTAAAAATACAGAAATTTTGATTTCTGGTGGACAAAATATTAAATTTTTATCGGTACTGTTTTGAACTTGATTGACAACGTTTTCATTACAACCTTGTTCAAATTGTTGTTTCTCGAAGAACCTACAATCAATTAAATGAGCTGCATTTTTTTTTTAACTTATAGGCAAAACATTATGCTCTCAATTGGTACGATATTAACTGAATTCTATAATTAAAGTTAAGAATTCCTAAATAAACGTTACTAACTACCAAAATTTATGGTAAACGAATAGCATCGATCTAAAATGGATAATGACTTTCTGTTTTCAAAATAGCTTCAACAACCCTTTAATCTGTGTACTATTGGAAAGCAGAAGATTACACTGCACAATGGTCCCAAAGCCGTATTTAGGAAGACAACATTGTTTGCGCCCAAACCGATAGAGATGAAAATTTAGTGTCTCCAGCAAAGTTTCTTCGAATTGATTGTTCTACAACTTTTTAGAACACTGAATTGGTCTATCTCAAATAATAAAAAAGTTTGTTTTGTCAATTCGCCTATTTTATGGACCACCCTAATTTCACTAACATAAAAATATTGGCCAAATAAATATGAAGACACATTCTCTAAGACACCATTTACCTAAAAGGCGCAAATATTGTTGTCTTCCTAAATACGGCTTTGGGACCATTGCACAGTGGTTTGAATGCTCAATATCACGAACTTTTTTATTTGCGCCTTCAATGTCGGTTTTTTCACTATGGTGTCTTTAAAAGAGTTTTTGCATAAAATAAGGCGCAAAGACTAGTGATAGGTTTTAGTTCGGAACTCCACCACAGGCGGCGCTGCAAAATCTAACTTTTTACATTTACAAGATAGGTATGTGGTGTCTTCAGCAAAGTTGTAGATAATTTTACTACAAAAATCTTTGCTCAACACACAAAACCTCTATATTTCTTAGTTTTTGAGATGCGTAGCGTTTAATATGACTGTTCAACAAAATTTAATTTTTTTCACTTTTTATAACATATTTAAAAAACTATAGGTTTTAGAAGACTATAATGTTCAACAAATATATGTATTTTATCACAATACAAAACTTTGTTAAAGACGTCCAAAAGGTATAGATTACACAGACTGAGTTATTCACAACTTTAGTAATTTTTTTTACATATTTTGTGCCCTCACAGACAAAAATCCGGCAAAATCCGGCAGGTGAATCTTGAATAGGATGAAAGCTTGTTCAAAAGTGATCTCAAATTCCATTGAAACATTTGTCCCTTTTAGTATCCTCGTTGATTATTTTGCATTTCAAAAAGGTCTTGACCACGGACATCAGAGTAATTGCCATAATCATAAATCACAGTAGTCTACTTGAAGGTAATATATAATTTTCAGTTAGCTATTATTATATTATAATTAAATGATTTAACGTATTACGTTATACATCATTGTATGCATGTACATATATATAAATATATCAAAAATATTAACAAAGGTTACACAATATTGTTATCAAAAACATTTTCATCTTTCTCTTCCACATCAAGCATGTATTTCGCATCGCTACAGACGTAATTAATCGGCTTGTCTCGAGATGCTCTAAAGTTGCTGATGAGAGGATCAGAAAATGTTCCCATTTGATTCCAATTTGATCGGCACAATGGATGTAATAAACATATTTGCATCGGATTTAGTTCCGTCATCATCGTCAAGTGCTTGCTTGTGTTCACTTAATCCAGTTGTGCCATCAAATCCCCACTTAATCATCATTTTCTCCGATTCGTCATCACTAAACTTTTACAGCGTGGACGCATTTGCATCAACAATCCTCATTGTCGTGTGCTCCAAGAGATCCTTTAGTTTCACTTCTGCAGACGTTTCCGAAACTACTAACCCTGTATTGGGATAACAGCACTTTTTAGTTTGCAGCACTTTGTAGTAGGACGGATACAAAGGCACATTCCGATCCAGAGCTCCATTACGAAGCTTTTCGTATTGGTCTTTCGATAAATTAAGATCCAATATTAACGCAAGAGCTTCCGTCTCCGAATAGGGTACAAAGCCATTTTTGGATGATTGCATAGCCGAACCCATTTTCACGACTCTTGTCGGAGTTGTTTGCGTTGCCTGTTTTACAATGAACGCTGTATCTTTTTTACCATCTTCACGTAATTTCATTTGGGTTGCAAATGCAAGTTCATCTGTTGGGTAGTTAGACCGCATTGCAGACGTCTTGCGTCTCTTAACAACCTCCAAAGATTTTCTTCCACGACGGGAAGATCCATAAGTACAAGGGAAACGATCAACAGCTTTCTGTGGTAGTTTGAAGGGGCTATCGAAATAACCACGACTGCTTTCAAGCATAGTCCGGTTGTGGGTTTCCCACAGTTTCGCCTTCACAAAATGGTTGATTTCAGCTGCCACTTGGGTCCAGAGAAGTTTTTGACTGTTACGGCATTGATTATGCTTCAATGCCGTAACAGTCAAAAAATTCTCTCGACACAACGTCTGATTATCAATGTCGTTTCCCTTAAATCCTTTCCACAGTTTAAAAAGCTTTCGCCTGTCGATTTCAACTGAAATTTTAAATGATAACTTATAATTTAAACTATTTTTGAAATTGTCACAAACAAATAACTTCCATAGATAACTCATTTATTTCTCACTTTTGGGATCTGCTACGGAAATGTTGAAAAAATAACCTTCACATTTTCTAAGGAATATGCGTTTAATGCTGCAAAACCGATCAATGTGTGATAAAACTTTGTTATACTATCACTGAGCCTACTTTGATTCAGTATTTGACAAATGCGCGCTGACACTGAACTACGGAACGACTTTTTAAAAATACAAAACAATCAACGAGGATACTAAAAGGGACAAATGTTTCAATGGAATTTGAGATCACTTTTGAACAAGCTTTCATCCTATTCAAGATTCACCTGCCGGATTTTGCCGGATTTTTGTCTGTGAGGGCACAAAATATGTTAAAAAAAATACTAAAGTTGTGAATAACTCAGTCTGTGTAATCGATACCTTTTGGACGTCTTTAACAAAGTTTTGTATTGTGATAA